ATATATATATATGTGTGTGTGTGTGTGTGTGTGTGTGTGTGTGTATGTGTGTGTGTGAGGGTGGTGGTGAATGCATACTCACTTTGGTCGTTTGCAGCTAATATTAGGACACAGACTTAAGTCCGAAAGCAGATTATTAAGAAAGACCATAAAAAAATCATATTTTTCTCATCTGGGAGATTGCTACTACAAACCAGTACAATCTTGTACTTGCAAAATGTGTAGAACTTATATAGTAAATATATTTAAACTCTGCTCCCGCACCTAAATATTTATTTAGTTACCTGGAATTATATATCAATTAATTTGATAATAGTATCAATTAATCATTCAACCAGACTGCTGATCTATATTTTTTCATTATATTTATACTAATTTTTCTTTAAAACACTTTTATACATTATACTTTACATTATATTTATGTATTTTTTTAGTTTTTATTTCATTAGATATGCATGAAATATCTATCTATCTATCTATCTATCTATCTATCTATCTATCTATCTATCTATCTATCTATCTATCTATCTATCTATCTATCTAGACAGAAACAGAGAGAGAGAGATAGAGAAAATTATACACACACCAATCCTACCCCATATATATATATATATATATATATATATGTGTGTGTGTGTGTATGTGTGTGTGTGCGTATGTGTGGAAACAGAGAGAAAGAGAGAGAGAAAATTATTAACCTAGTAAATTTCTCATGATTGAAAATGTGTATACCTGAGCGTATACATATCTATCTATCTTTGTGTTGTGTTGGGGTGTTCTGTGTCTGTCTATCTGTCTCTCTTTATATATATATATATATATATATATATATATATATATATATATATATATATATATATATATACAGATAGATAGATAGATAGATAGATACGATGAGGTGCTGAAAGGTTCTCGAATCAACCAAAGAAGGAATATAAAAAAATCTGATATTTCGTCATCTAATCAAGTTTTGGAAAGGTTGAGAATGTAGTAGCAGCCTTTTGCTGCTGTTGCCTCTTCAAGAGGAGATTGATTTACACAAGTGTCCATTTCCCTTCTCTCTTCTCCGTTAAACATCTTGACATGCCAGTGACGAGACGCTTTTATCAAGATATCTAGCAACAGAATACAATCTATCTATCTATCTATCTATCTATCTATCTATCTATCTATCTATCTATCTATCTAAAACCGCTGAAATATTCTCGGAACATCCCACTTTCCAAAACCAGACCAAACATCAGAATTTGTGGGAAAGGGCTTTTTGGTTGGGCCGAGAACTTTTCAGTACCTCATCCTATATCTATCTATCTATCTATCTATCTATCTATCTATCTATCTATCTATCTATCTATCTATCTATCTATCTAATTAATTAATTGACTATTCACTCATTTTAAAGAAATAAATGAAAGAATTTATATTAGAGAAAGTCAGAGGCGCCACTCTGTGCAATAAGGACTATTTAAAGTGAAGTTTGAAATTAATCAAGAAACACTTTTGAAAATATTATGTGCAAATTGTATTAAATTATTAAGGAGCATTATCAAAAGTACATTATCATGTTTTCCGCGAAAACTTTTACTTGAGACCAACATTAACGCGTAAATTATTACCCCTTCTTTCTTTATCCCTCTCTTTTAAATACCGGATTTAATAGATACCTTTCTTTAAAAAATAATGCATTCCTTCATATTAAATACAATTTACTAAAATTTAAACTTTATATCATATCATTTTGAAATTTTTTTGTATCACAATACGTAATAAAGTATGTCACTTCCGAGGTGAGAGAAAGACTATCTCATTGCAAAGGAAAATTCAGCCTAAATTGACTGTACAGATGTTGATTTTTTCATTTTATGTTTATTTATTTTTTATTTTTATAGGTTGTGTTCATAAGTGATTTTTTAAAAATAGCTTTTCATTAAATATATATGAAGTTAATATATATATATATATATATATATATATATATATATATATATATATATATATATATATATATATATATATATATATATATATGTGTGTGTGTGTGTGTTATATTTTTTTAAATGTACGGAATTTTTGTTTTTTGTTTTGAAGAATTAGATATATATTTGTATAGTCAATATTTTTCAGAAATTTGGAGAAGGCGAAAAACTTTTATTTAAAGTCTCCTTAAAACTTAAAGAAATTTCCCTGAATCAGCTGTTTTTAAAAAAATAGTTTCAGGAAATATTTTGAGAATTTTGGCTTAATTCGCATAGGAATTAAAATCGGTGGCTAAACAAAATATTTACTTTTCCTTTCTGCTTCACAATAACATCGTACTTATTCAATATATTTCTAAATTTTTTGTTTTTCAACTTATTACGTATATTTGGATCTACTTAAGAACGCGTTTAAATACTTAGTATATTGCCATTTTATTTATTAAGATTCTATATTGTAATTTACCTTATTACGGATGGATGATCCTGTTTCGAAGAAAAGTTCCATATCATTTAATAACATGAATATATTAGTCACAAACAAGAGTATTTAACCACAAACAGAACATTGTAAAGCACTAGTTTTGACTAGAGAACAAGAAGGTAGAAAGAAACTTTTGTTTTATATAAGAAAAGTATATTTTATGAAGTTGTTGAAAATTAAAGGTTTCAGTACTACCAAATGTATTTAATTTCACAAGTAAATGTGTCCTTATTTCAAACTTTACATAATGTGGTTCTTGTTTGCTTTGTTAAAATATACGAATTACTTCATGTTTTATTTTTTTTTAAATGTAACGATGCTTCGGGGAATTTTTACGGCGGTTGCTACTTATTTTTTTTTAAATCCATTTTGTCAATTGCAAAGCTATAGGTAAAAATATTTTCAGATGAACAATACACCTTCTATCAGTGATGTGAGAAACATCGAATCACCTCGAAAATAACACAACGGCAAATTTTGATAAAAAATATTAAGAGCTTTTCTTTTGAAAATAATTTTTGAAAAATGCTTAGGACATAGAGGTATTTAAATTTTGCTTGAAGAAAAAATTCCGATTTTATAAATATCGACATGCAGGAAATTCTTATTTATAGATATTACGTAACACTCCTTAGTAGGGATTTGTTTTGTATTTTAAAAGAGCCGACAGAAAGAGCAAATAAATGGAAAGAAAGACCGAAACAGGTGATATTAACAAACAAGAGTAAAAATAATTTGTTACTAGAGAGAGAGAAAGTAATAATAATTAGAAAAAATATTCAATTCATAATTAAAATGATAATGGTTTGATAATTGTTTTACAGGAAAAAGTTTCATGATTCTTAAATGTTTAACTTGAATAAGAGTCGAAAATTTAAACTAAAATCATAATGTTAGTAAAACTAAGCTTAGCTGTGTACGGTATAGGGCTAAATGAAGAGGAGTAGAAATGGTGAGTAGAACGAATGTGTTGTCCCAACTTTTTAAATGTGGTTTGTCAGTCTACTTTGAAAAGCTGAGGCTCAAAATTCTGATATTTTACATCAGTTCGAACATCGACCTCAGGCATCGGCTGGAAATGCACAATCTCAGCCATGATAGGGACCCATTGTTTTACTATACTCTGTGTGTGTGTGTGTGTGTATGAGATGACGTAACGAATATTATCAGAGAGAACAGAATTGACGAGCCGAGTTTCATTTCTGACTGGAAGTGCTTGTGTTCACTCAGAATTAACAGATTTAACAGAGGCATGAATCCATCTTTCATTTCACTCTGTCCCAGAGCTAGATATGAAAATATTTTGGACACTAGCATATGACTAAGAAATGAGATATCCCAGCGATTTATCCTTGCAGCTGGAATAATGAAATAATGACAAAAATGTTACATGACACCTGGATAGGAGATGTGTACAGACAAATGACTTCTTTTGCATTGTTATATAAATACAAATGTCCATTAATGCACCACAACACCATTGCAAGTTGTATGACTAACTAGCAACAATAAAAATTACATGTGCAGTTGTAAGAATGGTACACACACACACGCACACATACACAAAACCTACTTCATATATATATATATATATTAAAAGGATTAAAACGTTGAATGAAACACTACCGCGGTTTCAACCGCCAAGGTAGTGTTCGATTCAGCGTTTTAATCTTTTTAAGATATTAAATCGCTAAACAGTTTTGATTTTTCTTACTTGAAATTGAGCACTTTTTAACGCATACGATTTTAACACTACTATTTTAGTGTTCGTTTATTTCGAATATTCAGGCAAAAACATTAAAAAATCCTGATAATTTTTGCACACATCTAATATATATATATATATATATATATATATATATATGCACTCTTATGGGGTCTTACACAGATACGATGTTTAACAAGCTGATCTCGCTCGCAGATCATTGTCCGTGTAGTGAATTCAGTTTTCATTCGGTGTCTTAACATTGTGATGTTGAGCGATACACCTAAGATCAAGACATAGCCATATATGATGAAGACACACAATGACACAGACACACATACACCCCCCACACATATATATATTCATATATACTTACATACATACATATATATATATATTTATATATATACTTACATACATACGCAATACTGTTCTCTACTTAAATATGTTATATAATATAGTTTTCTAATTCTTTTGACATACATAATTATGTGTGAATGTAATGTATTGCGCCAAGAGGAAATGGTACTTTTATTTGTGATCTGGCAATTTCTGTTATTCTCCTTCTCCTTTCATTTCATGGAATCGAAGGCAAGCTTTTCTACGTAACAGTGATCCATTAGTTTTCTTTCCAGATTCCAAATTTGTCACCATCATCTCCCCATAAATTCTCATCATTTGAAACCGTTTTTCTTCTTCAAACGATGATGCCCGGATGTTTTTTCCAGATGTGAACCATTTTGGCAGGTTGCTACAGGAGACAGTTTACTGGACAAGGAAATGAAAAAGACAAAAAACAAAACAAAAACAAAAAACGCATGTGCACCCACGCAACACAAAAATCTCATACTTTTCCCCCTATGTGTATGTGTGTGTGTGTGTGTGTGTGGCTGTGTGTGTGTGTGTGTGTGTGAGAGAGAGATAGAGAGATAGAGATAGAAATAGACAAATAGATAATAGACAAGTAGATAGATAAAATTACATACACGCATAAACAAAGATACCCACCCACGCGCCTGCACGCACATACATATATAAAACGTGGGTGCATAATAAATTCGTAGCCTAGTTATTAAAAAGCATTTTATAAAACTAATGCTTATTTTTCATCAGAATCTTCTCCATTACCAAATCACTTAATTGAATGTATATTAGATCAAATAAGTTAGATCAATTTAGTTAAAATATCATGTATATATATATATATATATATATATACTTTCTCTCTCTCTGTCTGTATGTATACACACACACACACACATATATATATATATATATATATATATATATATATATATATATCGTTAAAAATTGTTATATTTATGGAGGAAGAGTACTCAGTATGTATGAGAGTTTGTATATATAAACGTGTGGACATT